AGAAAATTGTTATTTACATATTACATACAAGATTATATTAGATATTTATTATATTTTACATTACTTAGAAAAAAAGTCAGTTATAGATTTTTATTCAGCAAATGACATTCTATACTAAGCTAAGACTAATAAGGGAAATTTTAAACTATAAAACAATTAATTTTATTTATCTACTATAAATTGGAAAATCCAAATTGTATTTTTAAATTACATACTTAGTATTCATATCGATAATACTATGGTCGGATCAACCAGAGCTGCGGACCAGTTGAGGGCGGACGAGACGGGTGCTGCCGTAGTATTATAATTCATTAGCAAATAATTCTAATAAAAAGTAGGGGTTCCACGATAGAAGTAGACATCAAAAAGGGTTCCACGAATAAAAAAGTTTAAAAAATGCTGGGGACTAATACATCATTATGTATTATTTTGTATAATTATGACTAAGATTACTTGGTTTTCATTATCTAAATACAGTTTTTAATTTCAGATGGACTTTTCATTAAGTAGTTTCTTAGGTCACCTTGATAAAGAACAAATAGCTGAATCAACAAGGAATGATAATCAAAAAGTTATTTCAAATGATGTAAGTATAATACTAATATTAAAAGTGATTTTAAATTCTATTCTACTTATGTTTTTAAATATTTTCACATAATAACATGATTAAATAGTTAGGTATGATTACATCTTTACTGATACACACATGTCACATTCCTCTTCAGGCCCAGAAAAAATTTCTCAGTTTTCATCTATTATGTTGGGTCGACACTCGACGCTAAAATACTAAATGATTATTCATTTTTTACACTTTTATAGTACATCATTAATTTATAATTGTTGGTTAATGATTTATTGAATTCTTTTTTCTTATGAATTATTGACTTAACATATTAACTTGTAATATCACATATTATTAAATATTAGCACCAAAATTATAACAACAGTTGTCTGAAATTTTGGACCTCCTTGGTACCTGCCATGTGCTTTGTAATAAATCACTGTTAATTGGCGACTTATTTATTTCTCGTTTTCAATGGCCACCCAAGCTGCAACCTGTATTGTTATTTGAAGAGTAAATTTAGACGGAATAGAAAATAGTTGATTAAGCTTATTCCATCAAGTGTCACTCATACACCACTAACCATTGAACTGTCATTATTATGTCATTCATTTGTTTTTAAATGTTAAATAGAGAATAATTTACATTTGACCAATATGACTTACAAAAAATTTAATACATTTTTTTTTTTGTAAATTTGATTTGGTCTAAAGATCCAGCCAGTCTGGGGAATCTTCCTGTTTAATCTTTCATCAGATCTGTTGATTTCTCAAACGAGCGCTTTGAACAGTAAAAAATAAATATTTGTTTTAATAGGTGGAAGCCCAATTTCAGTGTCTTATGAGTGAGAATAGTGTTGATTATACTGCTAAGTTTGCAGATTTAGCAGCACAAGTGGCTGCAAGCAATAACAACTGCCAGTAACTTTCATTATTATTTTTAACTATTATATATATATATATTGAATTATAATTTAATATTTAAAATATTTTGTTATTTAATAAAATATTACATTTTTTTTTTTTTTTTGATATTTACAATATAAAATATGAATGTTTATTGTTTTATTTATATTATTTAATATCTTTATGTTATACAACTACATAAT